GGTACCGCTCGAGGTAGTCCTCCTCGTTAGCTTCCGATAACCGCCCGTGACGGCGGCGACGCCGCGGCAATGCCCAAGGACCGGCGTGACCCGACCGATCCGGGGAGGAAGCAGGCGAGCTCGGACCAGCAGCAAGCACCCCAGGGGTGTCGAGCTCTCCGGAGGCACCCGACGTCACAGTGAGGGACGGAGATGCTTCGCCCAGCTCCGCGCCGATCGTCGGCGCCACTCGAAGGGTTTCCCCCATCGGAGTCGGAAGGGCGATATCCACATCCCTGGAATCCGCGATCGAGGGTCCGAGCAGTACGAGGGCTTGATGGCGGATGTGACGTTGGTCCACCCTTACATTGGTAGCTCTGCCAACCTGACAAGGTGGGGGGAGGTCAACCTCGACGCCCTCCATGTTGCAGCAGTGTTGGAGAACATTCGCAAACATCGCGCTGCATATGCCATGACTACTCCTCCTCGAGCGTTCATCCCTCTTGCCATCTCGACGGACGGTACCCTGCATCCTGACACCCTCCACTTTTGCTCAGCGCTCGATGCCGCTTGAGGCAACTTCAAGAGGCAACGAGCGCTTAGCGATGATGTCCGCCAGATACCAGATGGAGCGGAGCTGAGGTAGCTGCAATGGCATCCTCGAATGACAACGTTGTCAGCGTAGGCCAAGACTCGAACAGAGGGAAAAAGGTCTGCGACATAGGTGGATGGTGAGGTTGGCTGAGCTACCGACGTAGGGGTCAGAGCGAGTCAAACTCTTATCGCCTCGGTATTGAGGTTGGAGACGTTGGCGCCCCTACACTGAGAGATGAGGTTTTCTACATTCAATGGTTTCAAGAGATGATCGTATATTGATGATGAAGAAGTTTCTTTGTTTCAGTCAAGCTCATGTCGTTTGCTTCTTCTGCATGAGAGTTAACTGTACAGCTCATGACGATGAAGGATGGAGAGAAGGAGGAGGAGGAGAAGGAGAGGAGGAGAAGGAGGAGAAGGAGGAGAAGGAGGAGGAGGAGGAGGAGGAGGAGGGAGGAAAGGGAGGGGGGGAGGGGGAGTCCGTGGCTTTCTTGCCTTCATTTTGGCTCAGAGATTTTTTGACGCTTGCCCGAGGGACGGCTACTGAATGGGA